TGTACAAAGAAGGAGGACAAGCGCCTAAGCGATGACTTGTCGAGGGTACGACACCCCTCTACTATCATGCTCCATCCAATCTCCTAGCCCTGGGGGAGGCAGTAACTCGCTGAAGCCCAAGCGGCATGGACGCCGCCAAACACGCCAAATGATCCGCCACCAAATTCACTTCCCTATGCATAGGGGTGAGCATGGTGCGGTTCGGTGCAAAACCGCACCGAACCGCAAAAAACCGAAAACCGAATTTTTTCATATACCCAAACCGAACCGCACCGAAACATGTAGAAAAACCGAACCGAAACTGCACCGAAATGTTCGGTTCGGTGCGGTTCGGTTTCGGTTAACTGCAAATTAAAAAAAAAAAAAAATGAAGCTACATCATCATCATCTAATGTGCAACATTACCAAACCAAAAGCCCATTTTTTTTTTAAAAAAAAAAAAACTAAGGCAAGAAATTAGATTTAATGTAATGTTATTAATTTTTAATGGTTATTGTTATTATTTACTACTTTACTTATTTATTGTTAATGTTAGTCATCCCAAACCAAAGGCCTAATATGACATGTATATTTACAATTCAAACATGTCAACATATTTCATATTTGTAAAAAAACTAAAAAAAAAAAAAACTATATTCGGTGCGGTTCGGTTAAAACCGCATCATTCGGACAAAAAACCGAACCGCACCGAAACTTGTGCGGTTTTCCAAAAGTTTAACCGCACCGAAAACCGAACCTTAAAAAACCGAACCGAACCGCACCGAATACATCGGTTCGGTTCGGTTTTTCGGTTTCGGCTCGGTTTTGCTCACCCCTACCTATGCACATGTAGGACCCGGACGTCCGGTCTCGCCGGATTTAGGCTTGAATAGCCTGGATCATCATATCATGCGCCCCAATTACGGCTTCAGGCCTAGAGACCGTCTTCGTTACGCTCTGACTATCAACTTCGACAATCACGCATCTATACCCCAAATCCCACGCCTACGCCAACCCCTGAAATATACCCCAAAGCTCAATGATTAAATTTTGGACACCGATAATATTATTATTTGACGACGTAACAACTAATAATATTAAACCTAAGTGAAAATGGCCTGAAAATGGCTCCATACAATTTCAATTCATCAAACATCATAGAATTAATCCACCAAACATGGCCTGAAAATGACCAGTTAATCCGCACTTAAACAGTAGGATTATAGTTAATAATTAGTTAACATTAACATATGTCAAGAAGTATGAAATAAACAAAGGGAAAACATCGAACCGAGAATGGTAAGAAAACGTCAAATTCAATAAAACCACGGCACGCTAGCCTACTCTGTGGATGAGCTTTTGAGTGTATTGAAATGTCAGTCATGACTTTTTCCATTATTATCAGCTGTCATTGCTCAATAGTCAATATTTTTACTAATTACATAGCCGCGTACAAATTGCAAATTGACAACTCTTAATTATCATCTGTAACCTTATCTGGTTTACATTGAAAAATGAAGACGAAACCTGTCGATTATCTTAACTTAATCACATAAAATATAAACGGAGCAATTATCTCAAAATTTGTATTTTTACCTAACAAATTAAATTAAATAACATTCCTCAAGTCTTAAGTATGCAATTTGCAATTATTTATTAAGAGTAGTGAAATTAATTATTCTATTCATTCAAGTTGTGTCGACTTTAACATACTTGAACTCAATTTATAATAATGGAAGATGTTACGTACGGTCCCGTTACGAAATTATTCCGTCGAACTTTTTAACCGTTAGATCAACTATCTCTGATGATTACATGATGATCTAACGGTTACAAATTCCGACGAAATTGTGCCGTAACCGAACTATAACATTTCCCATAATAATAACATATTCCGTTATGGTGGATGTTGTTGTCCTTGTTGATGTTCTCCATTATCAAATAAAATAAAATCCACTCCCACGGTTTTCCATTACCAAAAACCACTATAAATAGAGCTAATCCCATCTCAAGCTCCATTGAATCTCATATATATATATATATATTTCAAATCCAAATATACTCTTCCACATAATAAGACTCCAACAGCCGCCGCCGTTGCCGGAAATGGAAGGACTAATTCCGTTGCTCCTCCAGGCCGTGAAAAAACAAACACCGAAAAATGCCTACCGCTGCCTCTCGGAAAACTCCCTCAGCGGGCGGAGCTACCACCTGCTTCTCGCCGGAGACTCCCCCGAGGGTTCCTCCCACCGCCGGAGCTGCTCCGACTACGTGCCGCCACCGCTGCCGCAGGCCGTGGAACCGTCGGAGAATGTGGCCAGGGTTAAGAACTTTTCAGGAGCGAATAATGGCCTGAGGCAGAGGGTTTCAACTGTTCAACATTAGCTTGGGATCATCCCCAAGTTTCAGGGTAATGGTTGTCGACAAAGCCGGGGATCGTTATCACCTTTTATTTTTTATATTTATATTTTTTTTATCATAGTTATCACCTTTTTATTCATTTGCAATTTTTGTGAAGTTTATTCCTTTTTATGAACTCGTGCAAGGTACTTCAAAAGATTTTCTTAAAGGGTGTAGCAATTGTAAATTGTTGGGAAAATTTGTTACATACTAAACTACTAAATTGTTATCCAATGGGTGAGCCCTCGAGTTCGCGTTCAATGGTTCGCTTTTTATTTTTTCTTTTTTTTTTTTTTGGGAACGATAGGAGCTTCATATAAAACACAAAAAAAGTGCAAACCAGTACAACTAATAGCTGAAACACTGATCTGAAAATCACCTGGAGCCTAACAAACACTCAAAACACAACACCGCAAAAACTACAAAGCTGCCAAATAAGAGAATTAACGATCTCAATAAAATAATACCCGCTCTCACTCGACCAAAAACAGAAGCCAAAGGTTCAAACCAAAAACACAAACATAAAGACCAAAGCAAAAACAAACAAGGGAAAACAAAAGAACCACAAGCTAATAACAAACAAACAAGCAAGCAAATCCTTCCAAAGCAGCATAACCGAGTTGAACCAGCAGACACCAAGTCGGCACAAGGAGATTCCCGCAACCTAAGAAACCAGACCCCAAAACTGCCCGAAAACCGCCAAACGGTTGCCTAACGGAGCTGAAACCCAAGCTTCAGAACTCTTCCGAAAGCTGACTCGACCCATACCCAGAGAATCCCAAAATTACTCTCAAAACTGCCACTAGACCGAACCGGCTAACACCACTAGCGAATCGGCAGCACCCGACACATCCCCCTAATCCCAATGCCATAGAAACTGTTATTGTGTATATTTGTGTATTTTCTATATTAGTCTTAGGTTCTCTTTAGGTAACTGTAGCCCTAATTTTGTGTATATATTCATGGTTAATAGTGTATCATCCGATTGAGATGATTTTCACCCCAAACTTTGTGTCGTCTCTTTTGTGTCATGGTACCAGAGCCATATTCGATCGATTTTTTTTTTTCTGATAAATTTATTTATTGTATTTTTTCCGATCAATCTGATCGATCTGTGATTTCTGATTGCAATCTTTCTCGTCCTAAAATCAGAGATTTCTTGTCCAGCTTCATCTCGTCCACAGGCCCTTGATCTGTGAATTTTTCATTTGTCAATTCTCATTTTAGAAGTGTCCGCAGACCTCATATGTGAATTGTCCACATTCAACCAATTCATATACTATTCACAGCAAGCAAAAAGATTCCTATTTACAATAAAAAAATATTAAAATTCGTGAGGCTTCTGAAATCATTTTAGTGATATATTTGTTCACTCCTTGATTGAGTTTTGGGCCCGCATAAAAAAAAAAAAAAAAAAAATTGATTGTGTTTGGATTTCTTTCGAGCTGCCTTCGTCCAGTTTGTTTGGCCTTCGCCCACGTCCAGCAACCGTTGAGACAGTGCAACCCGACCGTCTCTTTACGGTCGTTGTTGCTTCTGAAGTTGTTTCTTCATGGTTGCGTCTTTAATGTCTGATTCCGACACTAAAGGTAGCCGCGTGTTGGAGCTCACGGCAAGAGTGGTTCTTGTGCGAATGCAGCGTTCTCCAGCGGTATTAATGATTCGTTTCTTGCCGGTTCTGTTGGCTCTTCCATTACTAGTGGAGTTTTGAATCCCTTGTCTGGTACGCATAGTTTATTTGATTGGATGTACGACTGTGGGGCAACTCATCATATGACAGGGTTCCTGGAGTTTTTTTTCTGATGTTCGAGATATTCCTGCTCGTCCTGTTCAATTGCCTAATGGTTCCTTGACTATGGCTAGCAAGGCTGGGACTGTTTATTTGGGATCTCATATAACTCTTTATGATGTTTTATACGTTCCCAGCCTTCAGTGCAGCTTGATTTCATTATATCAATTGTTGGATCTTTCCGACTGCACCGCTCAGTTTACTAGCAAATTCTGTGTTATTCAGAACCACACTTCGCAGAAGGTGATGGCCGCGGGTGAGCAGTTGGGTGGTCTTTACTTCTTTCGAGAGTCGGTTTCTACTGCAGTTTCTTGTGTTCGAAAGGTTTCTCCCGATGTGTGGCATCAACGTCTAGGACATCCGTCTGCTCAAGTATTGTCCCAGGTTCCTGTTATTGATTAGAGTTCTCGTAATTTGCATAAATCATGTGATGCTTGTTTTCATGCTAAACAACATCGTCGTAGTTTTCCTCTCAGTCAGACTGTTAGTCATGAGATTTTTCATTTGATTCATTGTGATCTGTGGGGTCCGTATCGTGTTCCGTCCTTCTGTGGTGCACGGTATTTTTTGACTATTGTGGACGATTGTTCTCGTGGGACATGGGTTTATTTATTGAATGATAAGACAGAGGTTGCTTCTACATTGCTGAATTTTTTGTCTATGATTAAGCGACAATTTGATAAATTGGTACGTGTTGTTCGTACTGATAATGGAAGTGAGTTCATGTGTTTGACCTCTTATTTTCGTCGTCTAGGGATTTTGCATGAGACTTCTTGCGTAGGCACCCCTCAGCAGAATGGGCGTGTGGAACGCAAACATCAGCATATTCTCAATGTAGCTCGTGCTTTACTGTTCCAGGCTCATCTACCTCTTCCTTTTTGGGGTCATTGTGTTTTGACTGCGGTCTATCTGATAAATCGGACCCCTTCCTCTGTCTTACATGGTAAAACCCCATATGAGATTCTTTATGGTTCGGCTTCTTCTTTGTCTCATTTGCGAGTTTTTGGTTGCCTTTGTTATGCTCATAACCAAGATCGTAATGGTGACAAGTTTGCTGCTCGGAGTCGTCGTTGTCTATTTGTTGGTTATCCATTTGGCAAAAAGGGGTGGAGTTTGTATGATTTGGATCGTTAGATTTTCTTTGTCTCTCGTGATGTGGAGTTTCTAGAGGCTGAATTCCCATACCAGTCAGACTCGTCTGAGCTAGATTCTTTGCCACCGCCTCTTGTTGTGCCTGTTTCTTCTGCGCCGAATGATTTGTGTCGTCTCTTTTGTGTCAGAAACAGGGAAAAAGATCAAATAAGAGTCTATGGCCCCAACCATTTCGACTCGGAAGACACGGGCCGCCGGGAGCCATTTCTGACCCTATCCCATAACACCGCACCTCGCCCAACACTACCCCAACAACAAAGAGGTCGATGATCGGAAAATTAGCCGGAATCTGCAAATAAAGGGGAACCCGACTTAGTGGTGCGACATCAGGAGGGCCGAGCAGGCAGGGGCCGACTGCCGGCGAAGCCCAACTACCTCAGTGGAAGGCGATTCTGCAGTGACCAAAGTGAGTAATGAGTATTTAATTTATTAGTATTTTTAAAATTATATAGTAATTTAAATAATAAATTTTAGACACAAAAGTAGGTAATTTCAACATTTAGACAATCGAAAATATGCTAGCGAGTAAATCAGTTGATAAAATAATTTATATGTATATAATATATTTTTATTTATATTAATTATATATTAAAGCTACTTAATAAAAGTTACTTAATTATACATATCACATCTATATATATATATATATATAAAGAATTACCATTTTTTAAAAATGGCAAGCCAAACTATGGTCAAATATAGTTGAGCATTAATTGCATTCTATTAATAGCAAGTTTTATTTTATTTTTTTATTTAGAAATGTGCATCATTAATTATTGCATTTAAATGTGGAGTTTGTTATTTATTTTTGCGCAAGATTAGGCAGTTCCTTTTTTATTTTTTCAAATTAAAAAAACTTTCTTTAACATATAATCGTGTACCACATTGCAAATTTTATATTTTATTACAAAAAATAAATTACGCCTAATTTAATAATATAAACTTAAGTTAGTATTACAAAAAAATCAGAAACTCTTTTAACATCAATTCTCTACAATTGTTCTAATCGGATGCTTTTATTTTTTTAAAAAATAAATTACAATTCATTTATTTGGTGGATTTGGTACATTTGATAAATTACATTTCATTTAAACCCCTAAAAGATAAATTGGTGGATTTGGTTCCATTAAGTTCTAAAAATTTCGATCTTTTAATATAATTTAAAATTCAAAATCCTCTCTCATATTTGATTTAAAAAACCCAATTGTGCTTTTTATTCCAAACAATCATATTGCCGAAAAAATTACCTTAAAAGTTGAATTGAAAATTTGAAATCCAAAATCCCTTCTCATTTTAGTTGTAAATTTGGCTTAATTCAAAATCTCCTTTTTTTTTTTTTTTTGCCAAAACGACAGAACAAAATCTCTTTTTAATATAAAGGGTTTTGTTCAAATTGAATTAAAAAATATCTAATCACATGCTTCTATCTTTGGACGGCTAACCTTAAATGAAGAATTTTGCGCCACTTTAAAATTAACAGACCTCTTGAAAATTACAAAATTATAAGGAATTTCATTTTTTTAGGTTTCAATTTGCACGAAATTCAAAATGGTTTAAGAATTTCAAATCAATCGAAATTCATCACATTAATTCTTTTCCATAAGTTTCAAAATTTTACAATAATTAAGTCAAATTACAAATGTATTGTTTCAAAAATCAAGAGGATAATTTTGAAAATAGACAGTTTTTATTTATTTTTATTTTTTTTTTCAAAATTGTCTTAGTCTCCATTCAATATAAAATAAATCCTATTTTATTTGTAAAATTGATAAATCTGCATAAAGCGTGGCATTTTATGCGTACAAATTTTTTTTACAGTAACTAAAAAATAATAATAATTTTAAAATCTTCTGTACACAAATTACTTAAAAGAATAATAATAATAATTTTGAAATCTTTTGTACTCAAATTGCTCAAAAGAATAATAATAATAATAATTTTGAAATCTTCTATACTCAAATTTTCAGGTACGGTAGTATCGTCGTAATTTTCAGCATCATGTCAATATTTAGTTTATATATACTAGGTAAATTTTCTTTCAAAA